CAACCATCTGATTTGAGTTTCTTCCATTGTAATCATTCCTATCACGCTTCTGATTTATTTTATCCCTCAAATCTGTCCCATATTTCCTCTTTTGCCAATTCCTCTTGCTTGAAGACTTGTCCTCACCAAGGTGTAGTTCATCATGTTGAGACCTTCTCTCTTTCCCTTGTGTGGACTTCCTGTCTTCTTCCATGAGTAGATGATGCCTTAGCGTCCTCATGTTTAGCACACGCTCAGTATGACAAAAGGATATTTTAAATTGTTCCCAAGAGTTTGGCAAAGATTTAAGAGCAACCATAACTTGAACTTCTTTAGGGAAAGGGTATCCAGCATTCTTTAGTTCCTCTACTAACACACATAATTTATTCAGATGTGCACTAACTGTTGTGGTTTCTGTCATCTTCGCAGTCAAAAGTTGATTCACCAAGCTAAGAACTTTGATAAGTGAAACTTCCCCAAAGTCCTTTTCTAATCTCCTCATTATTTTGCGAGCTGATTCCTCTGGTTCATATTCTCCGGCTAGAGAATCAGTCATAGATCCAAGCATAAACACTCTAGCCTTTTTGTTGTCTTTAGTCCACTAAGTAATTTCCTCTCAATAGCTTTCCTTTTCCTCATATTCTGCCTCGTTAGATGGTTGGTAGGCTTAGATTGAGTAATAATATAATCAATGTTCTCAGTAGTTAGGAGAAACATAATCTTCCTCTTCCAGTTAGTAAAATTTGAACCATCCAATTTACAAGATCTAAGTAACTCAACAAACACACTGTTGGAAGCCATTGGGAAGGGTGATTACCGTAGCAAAATTCCAGAAATCAATCTGTAGCAGCAGCAGGAACAAATAAGGTCATAACCTGCAGGTTCCGAGTACCCAACAGCAGCTCGTGTGGCTTGGTGACTTCCCTGGGAAGAGGACTTGGAGTAGCGGCGATTCCAACAGGTCAGAGGTCCCGGCTGGTTGATGACACCAGCCGCGGCAGGGACAGTGAGACGACAGCTATGATGGGGTCGGCGAGGCGACGGCCACGACGGGGTTGGCGAGGCGATAACCGCGGCGGGGACGGCGAGATGGCAACCGCGACGGGGTCGGCTAGGACGGCGGCAAGGTTGGGCGTCGCAAGATCGGGCGAGTGGTGTTGGCCAAATCAATTTTCATGGCTTGGTTCCGGCTATGGCAAGAGTACACAGCGAAAGTTTGTTTCCAGGAAAATACAATAGTTTGACGTCCTTTTTCCTATCTCAAATAAAGAGATATTCTTACGGCCGCCAAAACTCTTTACAATCTGCTCTGATACCAATGTTGAAAAAATAACATAGCACGAGTATATTTGTCTACCCTCTAGTTCCTCCGCCAAGTCCGTGGTGCAGCTCACAATGCGTATCTGAGGCTAGAGGATAGGGACATATTTATACTCATATTCCTGAATGTTCAAATATGTATCCAGATAGAATTCAGTTAGACTCCTAATCGAATTAACCAACCACGATCATAACCGATTATTTTCCGAGTCAAATTCCTTCTTATCCCTAAACACATATATGTGAGATATATGCCACGTTTAAATAGTATATGGTTTCTATTTAAACGTTTAGACTTATCAATCTACAGAGCCATAAATAGCCTAGCAAATTCCAAACTCATACTGTGCCCAGGCGTATAATTCCAGTACATATATATAGACTGTATTCTAGTATAGTTTGTACCCGGCTTTCTTGAGTAAATTTCCTCAAGTTCAATTGCAAATATTTGTACCAATCATTCATACACCAATTCCGTATGATTTCATTCATCAACCAAATCAATGTAGTATATAATGTTTTAGAAGACACCAAAAATTCCTACGCCAAAAACCTAGCATTCTCGGTTAATCAGGGAAAATTGGAAGAAAACAAAAAAAAACAAATCACTAGAGCTTGGGGATAGGGACAAGAAAAATGCAGCATCAAGGGACATCGTTAGAGCCAGAAACCAGAGCAGCTAGGTCCAAAGGAGTTAGCCGAGGCTCAAGTGCAACCAAACTGACCACCACTCGCCGAAGAGAAACCATCCATATCGAATGACTCTTTTGTCTTGTCCCCAAAGCATCATATGCTAACATTATCGTGTGCAAACATCCTGAAAGGTCCAACTTCGACTTCCCTGCGATCCTCGCCAAAGAGCTCAACTCCTCGATCACTTGCGGTGAGCGCGGATTTTTGTACATCTTCACGTATGCTTGCAAATCCTACGACAAAAACTTGAAGAAACATACCACTAAATCAAGATGTTGCAACATTTCAACACTACTGTCATCGAGGACGTGCCCCCCGCAAAAAAAAAACATTTCAACACTACTACCCCAAACTTTCTCCCTCTAGGCACAGAGTTGGGCATGGAAACATATATCATATGTGATATAAAATACCTTCGTTTATGGCATGGAATGAGCATGATCGTGCCAACATGGAACTAAAATCTCGGCTACGAATAAAAGCTAGGATCGGCGCAATGTGTGCAACGTTTTAAAGGACTAAAATCACTATGACTTCCATGAGCATATCATTTTCTTCTCCACTTTGATCTCTTGTACTCCTCCTTGACATTAGGCCTGCTAGTTGTAGCGCGTATTAAGAAATACTCTGCAAGATTATTTTCTTCTTTTCTTCTAGTGTGTTAAAGAAATTACAAAAGCCCCCGCATTTTTTTACATAAGCTCATTGAAATAGTTATAGTTTACACTTCTTTAGAGCAATAATAATCCAGAAATGTTCTCATCTCTAGCCAGCAACCTCTCATTCATTTGTCTCTCCTCCAACGAAAGGCGGCTAGGGTTTTTGCTCCAGCAGGCGCAAGTTTTGTCTATCTGCCAGTGGGGGACTTTGGAGCAGGTTTCCCAGTTGTTTATATTTGTTTGGTTGTCATGTTTTTGTTGCGTTTGCCGTGTTTCCAACATGAGTGGACTTATCCCATGTTGTACCCATGTTCGAGTGTGCTCATGTATTGGTATTCTTTGGGTTTTCTTCTAATTAACCTTGAAACAATCCCATGGTTTCACAAAAAAAATGTCCTGCAGGAAGTAACATAGTAAAGCCAATACCATCATGCAAACTAATTAAGCAAGGCACTAAAAAAGGAGAATTGGACATGAAGACGACACGACTGCATCGATACGGCGTCACTATAGTGACGACCTCTACACGGGCATGGTCTAGGCAAAATCGATGTGCGCTAGGTGGGCTTCCTTCGGTCTTGGCAAAACCGGTGGACTCATTGCCGATGACATCCTCTGACATCCGTAAGGTGCATCACCCACATATGCAACTCCGTCATAGTGCATTTTAGTGTACCATCGCCTTTTTGCGGTTTCATCATCCACGACCACTACGCCATCAACCATGACTACCGCGACCACGACTACATCACCATGATCATCGGCTACCTCAACATCTACATACAAAGCTATGTCTGAGCTACTAACCAGCAACAACTCTAGATACCAGTGTCCACGTCGTCACTAGCGTCCATGCCACTCCCGCCGCGACTGCAGGAGGGAATAGGGGACAGACAGGGAAGACACCAGAAGGGGATGCAATCACTGCCCTAGGTGCCGACCCATTAGAGGCGCAGTTGATGATGGCGCAACAGAGAAGATGACGAAAGCACAAGACTTCAAGTTCAGTCGTAATTGTTCACTTCGCTCCCGCTGCGATTGAGGGGGGAGGTTAGAAGTATAATTGAGTTTAAATACAGAGATAAGGAGATAGAGATAGGATATGTTTAAACATGTATTACTTGTCTTGTTTCAAGTCTCTCTCTCATATCGCACTTCTATATATACCTCGTACGAGGGTTAGATCAATACAACACAAATATTAGCATTCTACAATTTCTACACGCTACACCTGGGAAAGTACGACCACGAGTGGTCACCATTGATGGGACACATGATACCCACAGGAAGCATGTGCTGCCATCTCGTGCCACGATGGCGTCGTCCCATCGATCGAGCCGAGAGGGCGAATTCGTTGCAACGACGAGGTTAGAGATTGAGAGGATGCAGGAGCTATTTGCAGGTAGTGACGGAGCTGCGCAGGAAATGCTGGAGGGGCGATAGGCAAATATATATCAATCTCTGAGGAGGGGACAAAGACTATACATTTTCTAATTAAGCACCTTCATTTTTTTTGGCCTTCAACTCTTGCTTGTGTTCGTCATGAGAAGGAGCCAAAGGTTCGAGTGGCTCCTGGACAACGAGGGTCAAGCGGCTAATCCACTAGATCGTACTCTTATTCATGGATGTAACCAAACATTGTTTTGTCAAAACAACATTTTAATTTAACGGCATCTGTCGAGGATGGTTTGGATAGCAAAATAAAGAACTGTATGAAATTATGTTAACAGGAAAACAAACTATATTCAGTTTTCGCAAAAATTCTCGTAAAACTCATCTTTTGAAAACCTTATACTAATTCTCCTAATCCAAACAACCACTAAGCTTAAGTTGCAACACTAGTATTTTTTTTAAAGGAGGTTGAAGGCCCCAGTCTCTTCATCAATACGATGCACACAACCATTTTTATTAAAATTGACGCTAGGCAACAATGTCAAAATTATCAATAAGCTGAATATAAGGCTGAGACGATTATGATAGATATGAAATTAACACCAATGACTTATGACTTGGTTCATGTCAGGACGTCAGGTCCTTCAGCTTCTTTAGAGCTAGCACTTGAAGATTGTAATGGTCACGATGGTTGAGTAATACAAGTTTTTACCTGGAAATAAACACCCATGACAAAGTCACTTGTTCTGCAACAACACCAGAGCGAGGGTTTTTCGCTGCAACACCATTTTTCTTTTTTGAGGGGCGCTGCAACACCAGTTGAGCTGCGATCTGCAAACCGCGCGCGACCCATTTTCGCCCCATCAGAAGCAAATCGAAGCTGCGGCAGAAAACCATTCCCGCGCAGAAGCAGAAAAACACACCAAGCCAGACGAACAGGCGGAGCCAAAGCCAACCATGGCTAGCGAAGCCCCTCGTCCTCCTCGTCCTCCTCCGCCCCTCCCACCCAACCTGCCACCTCACACCCCCTACTCCCGCGCGCTGCAGCAGCGCCTCTACCTCCTCGCGCAGCACGCCCGCCGCCGCCGCGGTCTCCACCCGGGCACCGCCACCTCCCTCCGCGCGCTCGACCAGCTCCACGCGCAGCTCCTCCTCAACGGCTTCCACCGCAAGCGCTTCCTCCTCGCCAAGCTCATCTCCCTCGCCGCCGCCGCCGCCGACCTCCCCCGCGCCGAGGCCCTCTTCCTCTCCTCGACCTCGTCCTCCCCGCAGCACCCGCCCGCGCCCGAGCCCCCCACCCTCGCCAACCTCCTCCTCCGCGCCGCCGCGGCGTCCCGCGCGCGGCCTCGCCAGCTCCTCTCCCTCTTCTCCCGCCTCGTCGGCCTCCACGGGTTCCGCCCCAACGCCTTCTCCTTCTCCACGCTCTTCGCCGCCCTCTCCGGCGCGGGCGCGGGCGCGGCCCCCCACGGGGCCGCCCTCCACGCGAGCGCGCTCGCCGGCGGGTTCGCGCTGTCCAACTCGCACGTCATGACCAGCCTCCTTGACATGTATGCCGCGGCCGGGCAGCTCGCGGATGCCAGGAAGGTGTTCGACGAAATGCCCGACAGGACGGCGGCGGCGTGGAACTGCATGCTTTCTGCTTACGTGCGGTGCCGTGAGGTGGATGCGGCTCTGCGTTTCTTCGGTGAGATGCCTGGGAGGGACGCGGTGGCCTGGACGACGGTGATAGCTGGGTGTGCCGGTGCTGGGAGGGCCGCGGAGGCGGTTGATCTGTTCTGGAGCATGAGGAAGGCAAGGGTCAAGGATGATTCGGTGACGATGGTTGCCTTGCTGACAGCGTGTGCCGAGTTGGGGGACCTGCGTCTCGGGCGATGGATACATGCACGGGTGGACCAGGAAGGCCATTTGCAGAGGACGGTGTCGCTAGACAATGCCCTCATCCATATGTATGTGAAGTGTGGGGCTGTGGAGGACGCGCACGGCATGTTTCTCGAGATGCCGAGGCGGAGTACCGTCTCATGGACCACAATGATTTCCGGGCTCGCTGTCCATGGTCGTGCCGAGGAGGCTCTAGAATTGTTTAACAGGATGGAGGAACGTCCTGATGGCACAACGCTGCTCGCTGTGCTGTCTGCTTGCAGCCATTCAGGGAAGGTTGACGACGGACGGCAATACTTTGAGAGCATGGAGAGAGTTTATGGGATTGCCCCAGAGATACAACACTATGGATGCATGGTTGACATGCTCTGCCGCAGCAGACGATTGCACGAAGCACTCGAGCTCGCGGAGACAATGCCATTGCAATCTAATGAGGCCGTGTGGGGTGCACTATTGAGTGGATGCAAGAGGGAAGATAATCTTGAACTTGCAGCCAAAGTAATTGATAGATTGACTGAGCTACAGCCTGATCGAGCAGCTGGGCACCTTGTGCTCCTATCAAACATGTATGCGGGTGTTGGTCAGTGGGAGCAGGCTCGGATTGTGAGGGAAAGAGTGGCTGCACTGCATGCCGGGAAGCCTGCTGGAGGGAGCTGGGTGAATCAAAACGAGACCAGCATGTTGGTAGCATGAGCTCAACAAATTGTTTGGTTTCACTCACAAAATTTCACATGAAACATTGGGGCTTTGTGTTCCACATTTAAATTCAGTAATTATCAGAACTCAAGGGAGCACTGCAACGTTTCAACCATCCGGTGTTTGCATTGACGTTTATATTGACACAGTAATAGAAAAAAGTTCAGATCTAGAGAAGATAAAATGATCAGTCTGCCACACACTTTCTTTTGACTTCTGGTGCAACTGTGGAATTATGCATCAGTTTCCATCTTCGCTGCGTCGAGGTTAGAACATGATACATTTGACTTGCTATTAATGGTTCTAAACTTCTGTTTGCGCTACTTGCCAGATAATAAGTTAATAACAATGCTAGAAATATGTATAGCTCCGTAAATTATAGTTGTAATGATGAGGTCTTTGAAGCGTAAACTTCTCTGTCCATCTTAATTCATTTTTGTAGGAAAAAGTGTCATGACAGCCCAGCCTGCTGTCACAGTAATAATTAAACACCAATTGAAAATCATAGCAGAACTACATGCACAAGCTACCTAGTTCGTCTCATTTTCCTTGCTAAATCTTTCTGAGAGATACGAAAGCAGTCTTCTGTTCTCAATTTGAACAATGCTCCTCTATGTAACCTATTCTGTACACTGTTTTTTTATATCGGCAAGTTGATAGTTGCTGAATCTAACTCCTCCTGGATAAACTGAAATCAACTATTCGTTGATAGCAGCAGGGTTGGTTCCAGTGTCACCCGAGAAGCTTATTGCATGTGCCAATGCCAATAGCAGCAGCAAGATGCCATGCAGCATGGATATAGGGTGTCTCTGGGAAGTAATCGTCGGCAATAAACAGCGCACCTCCCAAAAGAGATGACATCTTGTGCAGGTTATGTACCGTTCTGAGCTCTGGTTCAACTGATGCTCTCTTTGCGAAGGAAACCTGCCATGCCATGTAAACAGTTAGATTTATCCAGCAGTTTTCTTTCAGCAAGCCAGTTTGTTGATCATTGAATTGGTTTGTTTTAGACAGAACAATCTGCCAGGTCATTTGGATTACTTGCCTCCATCATTCCGGTGTGGACAGCTGAAACCATGAAAGGCTGAAACGGCAGCAGCAACGTTGATGCTGCCATCAGTAGTCCTGGGTTCTCATTTCTGACTGCCCTGGATAAACACTGCATAGAAAGCATATATGTTTGCTACGAGTGCAGATTCTGATAATTTGAACAGCCTTTCAGTGCAAAAATATGACTCACCAGCGTAGTGGTGGCAATCATAGTATAGTCGGCCCATCTCAGGATTTTTCTGACCTCACCTCGGGAAGAATGATACAGGCCTGAAGCTATTCCTACTCCAACCAGTAAGTTGGCGTAGATGGCAGCGTTCAAGTTCTTCCTGCGGCACCGACTTTTCTTATTAGATACATACTCAGAAATAAAAAAGACAAAGAATCATCTTGTCTCAGAAGATGTCTTGCCTTGGTGTCTGCAGTCCAAGGACGATGAAGGGTAGTGAGGTGACAACATTTGCAAAAGTTTCACCAGCATGCTTGTCACCTGATAAACACAAAACCGTCAGGCAAGAAGCTTCACTTGGCAAATAAGATACTGTGGCACCGGTTGCTGGGCAGACGGAATGGAAGCAGCCATACATGTAATGCCACAGTGGATGGGCTTCAAGCATGAGGGCCGTTGCTGCCACAGTCGTCTGCAGTTGTTGCAAACACAGGGTGTCAGATGGATGGCATCAGCTTAGTCTGGTGTTGAGCGCATTGCTCGTGATTAATGGCAGCTCACCGTATCAGCAGTCTTTGATGTTGTTGTGTGACCGTTCTACCGCCATTTTGGTGTTCACAAGTTGGCGAATCGGTGAAACTGGTCCGGACGGCTTCGCCTTCGCTCTGTGCCTGCGGTAGTCGACGAGCAATCTGTATGCCGTATAGCCCATCCAAGATGCCTGGGGGTTTTCTACCCCTCTGGACACACATTTTTGCCTTGCCCCTCCTTTAGCAGCGTACGGTCGACTTATACCCGTGAGGCCTGCAGGACGGAGTTAGACATGGATGAACATAGCCTCGGTCAGTTCTTCGCTTCATCTGGTGAGCTCTAACAATTTTCCTTCTTTCTTTGGTTGCGGCTGGAAGAAACTAATGCAGTAAGATTGTAGGGAGCGCACCTTAGCTATGCACGGCTGGCTACCCGAGATTGCGGCGGACCTTCTGCCTCTTCTCCGGCGGGCGTTGGTGGATGGCCGGCCGGCCGGCGACGGGCGAGGGGAATAAATAGCGTATGGATGTGAAGTTGTTGGAAATCCTGGCGCGACGCGAGAGACGCCAAGTCATGTGGGGAGCAGAGGATGCCGATTCCGAACGGATCTTCCCTCTGCTGCAGCGCGGCCGTGGCGCTCGGTCCGAATATCCTCTCGCCCACGGCGCGGCATCGTCAAAACTTACACGGAAGACAATTCCATGCAGGCAAAATACTACGTGGATTCTGAATGGCGCCAACCGAGCGATTAAGACGCAAAGAAAGTAAGAAAAAGGACGCAAACAAAGTTGAAAACTTGGGCTGGTGGAACTCGATAATACTAC